GTCGGGAAATATTGACACTCGTTGATGAACGTTCACCCGACCACTAACGGAACTCATCTCACGGCTAAGATACCAGAAAATGGCCATCCCAGTCTCCCTTGTCTTTGCTGGCAATATTATCTACCTATAAACGTTACTTTTTAGTCCATTCGCAAGCAGGTACTATCATGACTTCCACGTATTCCTTAATTTGCCCCTGAAAAGTGATCCGTTTAACAGCAATGGTTTTGCCTCCTCAGCTATCTTTCTGACATACGGGACTGTCCCGTAAAACGGATAGGGCCATGGTACGCAGAGGAGGAAGAGGAGACCTCTTCCGTATTCGTGAAAATATAGAACTAGCATACGATAACATTTCTAAAGTTACTTCCTGTTTAGAGTGGTTACTTTGCCGCAGTCCACGCTGCATTTATTTATGCAAACCTGTCCTTGTAATTTATTTTAAAATTTAAATCTGTGATAATACAAGAAACCGGATACACGCATATACAGATAAGGGCGTGCTGAGCAAGCCGACGAAGACTGAAATGACAGCTTCCGGTTTATTAGTCATCGCCAGCCAACTTCAAGTTCAGGAGGCCTGAGCTTGAGCTTTGATAATTGAATGTTAGGTAGTCCAACGCTCTACCATTAACTCCTGGATCCAGTGTTCTATCGGTTGAAAGTGGGAGTATTATTCGCAAAGAAAGGGCATTCGTCAATCGGATTTTGGGAACTGGAACTGGCTGACGACGAATAAAGAGTTAGCAATGTTCATTCTAATCTTTACTGGCCTTTTCGGTAATCCCTTCTTCCTGTCCAGTGCGCAAATGCTTTTGAGGAGTATAGATTGAGCATTAAGGTCGAGCTCCAATGATAGGCCGTGGGCATAAAAATGCCAAATGACGAATGAATACGAGCTGGAACCCCAGGTCATCCGAACCTGGGGTTGCCAATGGCTGCCCGACGACTGCTAACAGGTCGTAAATGTCTACGTGAGAGAGTTTTTCACCAAAGTTCACTGCAGTTTCGGGGCTAATATGAGAGGTCATATCTCAGGCACTTACCTTCAAGTTCTCGCTATCATAATTTGCAGAATCATTAGCTTAATTTATATGTATGCATATACAGGGTGTCCCAAAAAAATGTATACACATTTACCTATTTGTAAAATTGGCGTTTATCATAATTTTATTATTAAATAATTGTAAAGATATTTACAAGTACCATTTTATTATTTTTAACACCGAATT